CACCTGGTGACCGCGTTGAGCGTGGAATCATGGCCCGGAGTGTTACAAGTGAACCAGAAGCACATCAAGAGTTGGAAGATTGGGCTCGAGGCGGAGATGGGATTTCCCATGAGCGAAGCGTATGGATTGCCTCTAAATGCGAAATCCTTAGTGGGGTCAGTGCTGGCTAACCTATGTGGAAGCCACTATCCACTACACATGGCGATGGTGGAGGTGTCCAGCCAGAGGGTATTGATAGACAAAGCCTTCTCAGTGCCCAAATGCGTGAGACTAGCTCTGATGTCACATCATTCACACAAGCTATTGAGGAAGATCCGGGGAGCAGTACCAAAGGAACAAAGAGACGACTTGAGTGAAATCTGGGGTGAAGGACTCCTAGGCTTGGAGAGCGAAAATACAAGTGATCACGGGAGGCAAAATGTGGTGGGGAAACCCGCAGTAGGTGCTCCAAGCTCGGAAGAAGTCGACGTGATACACGAGAAAATGATGGAACTTGAGCCTCTCCTAGAAGCTTCGGGAGAACGCAATCTTAGAAGCATCGACCTCACACAGGGGGATTGTCCATACCACACTGTCTGGCGCAGACAGTGTGGTATTCAGACCGCGCCAATCTCTGTCTGATCTGGGACGTAGAAGAAATTAAGTCACTGGGACTACCGGAGCATCGACAAAAGGTGACCATCTTGGTGGTGAGCACGATGCTGGCTCTGCGATGGATTGAGGAAAATATAGCGAAGTATAGAGAATCGAGAAAGCCAACAGCTGAGTCGATTCATGCTATAGATTACAGCAGGAGGCTAGAGTTGTTTGAGACGGCGTGCAAGGTATTCGCCATACCAGTGGAAGTCAGACATATATGGAGCCGCCTGAGATTCTTTCCTTGGTTTCGTGCGACGTTGACATCCTGGTTGTATGTAGTGACGAAGGACCACATGAGGAAACATCAAAAGGAATATCGACAATTCCAAGCTGAAATAGGACCAGATGCCTTTAAGAGACCTCTGCTAACCCATCGAAATGCGATCGCGGCGGGGTGGAAAAGAATGGGCAGAGTATCCAGAGACAAATCTAGAGCGAGGGAAACGATACTGGAGGAGGACCTGGCGAGGAATGTAAGCATGAGTCTTCACAACTCCTTCTGTTTGAACCGAGAGTCGAAGGTGAAGAGCCTACCAAATCAATCGAAGAGGTTGCAAGAGCAGAGGGAGTGGATGCGATCCTATGAACAGTTGAAGGCCTGGGAGGACATTGTGATCAGCTCCGATGACGAAGAGGCACTGTTGGAACAAATTACAGTGCCAAGAACACCGGTATCGGGTACCTCGAAGGCGAAGAACACGAGGTGAGCCAGTGGCTCGAAAGGAAATTCTAGAGTCTTGAGTCTTGAGAGGGAGGGGGCTTGAGAGTGAACTTGAATGAAATCTGGGTTCACTAAAAAAGAAATTTTAGATGAATAAAATATCGTTATTAATATGATAGATCTATTATATGAGTCAAATGGATGCATGACAATTTCCTGACTGAATAGGACAAAAGAAATTTTAAAATTACCAGCTTAAAAAGCGGGAATTCATGGGTGCAGGTGTATGCAGATTTTGATTGCTGTTTAGCGATAGTGTGGAAATTTTATATGGTTGTGAATTTTGGAAGGTAGATAAACTTAAGTCCGATGCAAACTTCTGTAAATGACCACTGGCACTGTATCTTGAGCAACACTCGGTTCTCTGGGACTCACTGGCGGATGACAACACACGATGAGGACATCGATCTCGAGTCCGGGGAGTATGTGCCAGTCGGTCATGTCTGGAGGTTTGACCTTGAGAAACACGTAATTTTGGAGTGAAGTTTTAATTTTAAAAATTTCGAATGGAGCCTGTCATGCTCAGTTTTCTCGAACCAACTGAAAACGCAAAAGTCAAAGATCAGAACGACCGAATTAACAATTGCGGGAAACTACTCAAGAAAAAGGCAGGAAATTGCTATTCGCAATTTCTCGATACGAGTAGAGCTGTCTGTTCCTGAAAACAGGAAAATAGAATACAGACTTGAGAAAGGACGACTATTCGAACGGAAAGGAGTGAACATTCGATGGAAGAGTGGACAACTCGAGTGTCCCAATGGTTCATTCAGAGACTTTGATTCTTGAGACAGAACTTACTTCTGTTGTTAAAACTAATTAGCATCAAACTTATTTAGTTATATTATTTAATTCTCAAGCTGCTCATCTTTTACTTACTCCTCATACTCAAGTGCATCGACATGTGAGTTCTCAATTTAAATTTCTCGAGTGTATTTTATGATAGTTATGTTGAGATAAGGCGAGTTATAGGTTGATCCATCTGAAATGGATCAAAGTTCCACTGTCCAATAAAAAGTAACTAAGCGGATTGTTCCGACCCGGTTTTTAACGGCGTTCATGTATTTTGGGTATTTCGAGACCTAAGTATGGGGACGTTCTTATTTTTAGAGGGGGGGGTATTTTGGTAGTGGCCTTTAGGCTTTAACGGGTTCCAGTCTCATGTCGCAAGCGAACCGAATTGGCTCCGACCGTTCTTGAGGTAGAAAAACACAAGAGATAGTGTCCCTGACTCTTGAGCCAATGGTTATAGGGCCTATTTTTCTTAAGCCTCATATGTGACTAAAGTAGGCGACTGTTACTTGAGACAGAACTTGCGGGAAAATACTCAAGAAACTTGCGGGAAAATACTCAATTGCGGGAAAATACTCAAGAAAAGAGCAGGAAAAAGCTATTCGCAATTTCCCGATACAAAATAATACACGAGTAGAGCTGTTTTATCCCGGAATAGGAGGAGAGATAATAAAAAGAAGAGAGAACAACTATTTGAAACGAACTAGAGTGAGCCTTCAATGGAAAGGTGGACAGCTTGAGTGTCCCAATGGTTCACACAAAAACTCCAATTCTAGAGCCAGAGTTTACTTCTGTTATCAAAACTGATTAGTATTAAACTTATCTAGTTATTTTATCTAATTCTCGAGTTGCTTACCAATTTAATTACTCCTTGTACTCGAGTGCATCAAAATGTGAGTCTCTAATTTAATTTTCTCGAGTGTGTTTTATGATTGTTATGTTGAGATAAGGCGAGTTTTAGGTTGATCCATCTGAAATGGATCAAGGTTCCACTGTCCAATAAAAAGTAACTTAACGGATTGTTCCGACCCTGTTTTTAACGGCGTTCGCGTATTTCGGGTATTTCGAGACCTAAGTATGGGGACGTTCTTATTTTCTAGAGTGGGGGATATTTTGGTAGTAGCCTTTAAGCTGTAACGGGTTCTAGTCTCATGTCGCAAGCGAACCGAATCGGCTCCGACCGTTCTTGAGGTAGAAAAACACAAGAGATAGTGTCCCTATAACCATTGAGCCAATGGTTATAGGGCCTATTTTGCTTAAGCCTCATATGTGACTGAAGTAGGCGACTGTTACACAGTATCATGGATCTTCATCACAAACAACATATCCTATAAGGATAAGCTCGTGAAACTCGATATCCTTCCAATCTCCTTATATCAAGAACTTCATGTTATTCTCTTGTTTGCCAAAATACTAACCGGAAAAGTTGACATAGACTGGCGTAGTCAAGTAACCATCACAGACATCGGTACTCGATGAACACAAGCAACACGTTATTTTGCCTGCCAACAAATACGTCTGAAGAAGTGTGAATCAGATTACTGGTTTCGAGCTTGCCGTCTGGCCAATCTTTTTAACGATTACTTCAAATTTGACATAATCTTGATCCAGGATGCAAAATTAAACTGCTGGAAGTTTATACGAAGTTCTTCAAAACCCGCTACAACGAAGCAGATTCATGCACTTGGCGGATATTATGTGGCTGCAACAACTGTAGAGATTTGAAGAAACTTAACTTTAACAACTGAAACACGAACGTTGAACCTCCCAATCACTGGGTTTTATGCGAACCCTTGGATTAGTTCTAAATCCTTTGTGATAATTATTATTATTATTGTTTTGCTTAGAACACTGCAATTGTCACTCTTGATGTTTCAACGGCTGTAATCGTTTCATGTCACTTCTATTAACTTGGCGATGAACATAATTCCGAAAACGTTCGAATTAACATTTTAATATATTTTTTTCGTAACTGAACGTTTGTTGCCATAATATCGTGTTATTGTAATTTATCAAATGAAAATAGCATTGCTGACTCTTGCATTTTGTTATTATTATCTTTTTGCTATTAATACGTTCGATTTTTCAACGGTATTCAGTCGTACTGCGATTATTTCATATTTGTCATGCCAGTTTTTCAAATTGTTCCTTAGTTTTTTTTTGCTTTCAGAAATGCTGGGCGTACTGGTTAGACAAACTGCCAGGGCTTGTGCCTTTCGGCCTTTACAACTCACAAAAGCGGCACCAATTGCAAAATCATCTCTTCGGTTTGGCTCTAACTCGCATCCCGAACAGGATCCCGAATTCGACGATCGTTGGGAACAGTATTTCAACAAAGAAAATATCGACGAATGGGAATTGAGAATGGGGCTTAACAATCTTATTCGGTACGACTGTGTCCCAGAGCCGAGAATATGCATCGCAGCCTTAAGGGCTGCTCGCCGTTTGAACGATTTTGCAACAGCGGTGAGGATCGTGGAGATCATCATGTACAAAGCAGCCTACCGCGAAAGGCTTTACAACTATGTCATTCAAGAAATCAAGCCAGAACTTGAAGAGCTAGGAGTGCCTCTTCCCGCAGAGCTTGGTCTTGTAGGAAACCAAGGAAAAATTTTCGGACCTGGAAAGAGTTAACTATCGTACTTTGAAAAATACACTAGCTGATGAACTATACTTAATACTCTAAAAATCGGAGATATACATTATATTTCGGGCTAACTTGCACTGAGTACTTATTCTGAGTAGAATTGAAATTGAACACTAACATACTTTTTAGAATGCTAAAATATACTTATGAAAGCAATTGAATGATTGAACTGCTGTGGTCCTAAATATAAGTAAGTTTTAGATTTGTTATGACCTCTTATGAAAAAGTTCAGCTCGTCCAGTTGAATGACTATGGTGAATCTGATGCATCAGATGCGCGGCAATTTAAAGTCGAGTTGAAAATATGCGATGAAAGTGTTAATTTTGTGCTTTCCTCGCAGGGGCAAGTTGCTTATCAGTTTACTGTTACGACAAAAGGAGAGTACTGCAGAGCAGGGCGATTGGCTGTGGTGCTGAACTTGAACAATGCTGCCGTGAAGTTAAAATTTGCGTCTGAAAAAGACACCGAGAGCTTCCACAGAATTCTCAAAGGACTGAGAGCTGGTAAGTGTTTTCTGGCATCAACCTTTAATCAAAATGGTATAAAAAAGTTCTGCGTGAAAAAAAGCCTACGTGCAGTGCAGATGCATACGCCTTCTTTTCTTTGTAAATACGGAAGTAAAAGTTAAATAATCGTGGAATATACGTTCTCTAGTACCCGAGTCGAGATTTTTCAACTAATTTGAAGCAAGATTTGAGCGGTTTGAGCGGTTTTTTTAGACAATTACGCTCAAAATCTTGCTTCAAAATGAGCGGTTTGAGCGGTTTTTGAACGGTTTATCTAAAAAAACCGCTCAAAAACCGCGCAAGATTTGAACGGTTTTGAGCGGTTTATCCAAAAAAACCGCTCAAAAACCGCGCAAGATTTAATAATAAAAAGTCGACCACAGAGGGATTCGAACCCTCAATCTTCTGATTCGAAGTCAGACGCCTTATCCATTAGTCTATCCGGACTTGCTGGAAGCATAATATTCGCTGTATTTGTTCTACTGAATATGTTGAATGTTTTAGACATGCACAACAAATATACTGTCAGGATTTTTATTGTCAGTCTCAACAAAATAACAAAAATAATCGATTATAAGATCGCACACCAACCCCCCCACCTCTTACTAGAGTTGATGTCCCCCCTCACCTCTTACTAGAGTTGATGTCCCTTACTAGAGTTAGATGTCCCCTAACTAGAGAGAGAGGAGGCACGTGGTGGTTGGGGGTTTCGTGGGGGGATGGTTAAACGTGAGGGGGTTACGTCGTGGGTTGGGGGGTACGTTGAGGGGGGGGGGGTACGTTGGGGGGGGGGGGGAAACTCTAGAGAAACGTTGAGTCTGGGACCTCGACCCGGGAAGACCGCTCGAAAACCGCTCAAAAACCGCTCAAATATTGCTTGAAAAACCGTTCAAAAATCACCGCAAGAAATGAGCGGTTTTTGAGCGGTTTTTGAGCGGTTTTTTAAGCAAGATTTGAGCGATTTGAGTGGTTTTTCCAAAAAAACCGCACAAACCGCTCAAACCGCTCAAATCTTGCTGGAAAACCGCTCAAACCGCTCAAATCTTGAGCGGTTTTTGAGCGGGATCTCGACCCGGGTAAACAGAAATGGTCAGATTTGCTGTGGCTGTGGAAGTTACCCGGAATGTTCTGACAGCAAATTTTTTTTACCACTCATTGGATTCGTTTGGGCGTGAGATTGGAAGCTAAGCAGCAGCGAGTAAAATCTAGTAAGCAACCGTGGGTATAACGCGCGGCCTTTAATACAAAGGTCGTTCGAATTGCCCTTCAGTCACGGGATGACATTTCTCTTCCCCACGGAAAAAGGCCAAAGATGGAACAAGGGCCGGGGCTAATTAAAAGAAGTGAAATATAATCATTCTACTTCATTTAATGACTACTAAACTAAACGTAAATTAATACCATTAAATTATATACTTTTTGTCGATGTGTTTATATAATGATTAGTATGGCCCAATCAAAAGTTTTCCTTCGGCGTTGCAAAAACTGTTACTCTCATCTCATTGCAGATTTGTCATTGCAGCTGGATTTTGTTGCAGGCGTTGAACTGCCATACACAAACTGGAAACTAATGTCCTAAGGTCATATAACCATTGGCTTTAGACCTGAAACTTTAGCTACCGTGCTTTCAAACGTCGCTACGTTCGGAGCAAGTGTAAATGTGGTTCAGGGACATCAATCTGTTTGAAAGTTACCGTTTTCAGGCCGCTTCCAAAATGTCTCCCACATTGGCTTATATTGGCTTGGCAACCCCATACACAGATCTTGGAAAACCTTAAATACGTGATAACCGTTAAAAGCCTGGTTTGTTCGCCCATTGTGGGTTAGTGTTTTGGTGAAAAATAACAATAGGATAAGGGCTAAATTTAAAAATCAGAGTTTTTAGAAAGTTGAATTAAAAATGGCGTCGCTACAAAATGTTTTCTAACCGATAGGAGGATTAAAATTGAGCATCTCAGAGGTTGCTCGGCAACAAGATAACCGTTCCTGAATTACTTTGTTGCCTGTGGCTAGCAGGTTGATTTCTTGGTTAGATCGAATTGTTTTCTGCTAAGTAGACCGTATACGAATTCTGGTCAGAATGACACAGTCGGTTTTTTTTTTAAATTTCACTGTTTTCTCGCACAAATTTAACTGAATATGTCAGTTTGAGTTTTGTTCATCAATTTACGAATTCTTTTCTTAATTGGTCGACTGGAAAATTCACGACTTCAATGTTTAATCTGTCGTGTCACTCAAACCATATTAGAAAAAAGTTCGGCGTTGATCGACTGTAAATGGCTGCCGTAAATTACTACCAGTTGTATCTTGTATGGGTGATCTGGTGTTGTTTTTTGGATGTGTCTTCAATCGGATCTGGGCCATGTCACCTTTTTGTAGCGCAAGTGTCATCCCCTAATTTCGACCCAAGAAGAGTGGAAAGTGTTTCTGAATAATGCGAACATTTTGGGGAGAACATTTCTTGTTGCTTGAAATATTTTGCGCAGTTTAACCGTAGTCAGATCATTGCACTAAGAACAAAACAACCGGCTAATACCGTTATCTTGTATCATAATCAAAATTAATAAGTAATTTTTTTTAGGTGCTATATCGACTGTTTCAAATAAAGGCGATGTACCCAACAAGAGTTCAGATGGAGGAGAAGACAACGAAATGAAAGACGACAACGTGTTCGATGCGAGAACAGAGCAGTCGTCTGCTGTGCAATATTTCCAGTTCTACGGGTACCTCAGTCAGCAGCAGAACATGATGCAAGATTTCATCAGGACCTCAACATACCAACGAGCCATGCTCAACAACTTACCCGACTTTCACAATAAAGTCAGTGTTTTTGTCTCTTGTGTTTCCTGATTTTTGAAGTGTTTATTTTAGCGAACAGTTTCCTGAACAAATATTATCATACCTGGAAAGTCGTCAGAAACGTCTTCCGTCGAAATTTTAAACATTCCGAGCTGCACTTGTTTTTGAGAGATATTTTTGTTTTAGGTCGTTATAGACGTTGGAGCTGGTTCGGGAATTCTAAGTTTCTTCGCAGTTCAAGCTGGAGCCAGAAAAGTCTACGCTATCGAAGCCAGTTCTATAGCGGAACAATGTGCGGAGCTCGTCAGAAGTAATAATCTGTCCAGCAAAATAACTGTAATTCCAGGAAAAGTAGAAGAAGTTGAGGTTCCTGAAATGGCTGATGTTTTGATCTCGGAACCCATGGGTTACATGTTGTTCAACGAACGTATGTTGGAATCTTACTTACACGCCAAAAAGTTCCTCCGTCCCAATGGGAAATTGTTCCCGACACAAGGAGACCTGTTCGTCGCCCCATTTACAGACGAGTGTTTGTACCAGGAGCAGTTTTCAAAGTCGCATTTCTGGTACCAGCCTAATTTCTACGGCGTGGATTTGTCATCGCTTCGAGACACCGCAATTGCCGAGTACTTCCGTCAGCCTATAGTGGATACGTTTGACTATCAGATCCTAATGTCTGCCCCTCTGAAGCACCAAACAAATTTTGCAATCTGCAGCGAAATGGATCTGCACAATATCTCGATTCCGCTGAATTACGTTGCGACACAAACGGGACATGTTCATGGCTTGGCATTTTGGTTTGACGTGGCGTTTGTGGGAAGTAAACAGACTGTTTGGCTGTCCACAGCCCCGACGGAGTCTTTGACGCATTGGTATCAAGTCCGCTGTCTGCTGAAGTGCCCCATTTTTGTCAAGGTTAACAAAATTTGAATTGACTTGCCATGGATAACAGTTAAAAAAGTTTAAAAATGGTGAATGCTTTGGAGGTCGTCAATAGGTTGAATTAAGAGTTTGCGGTATTTTTCTTTCTGGCGCTAACTTACTACCTGATACTTTCCTATTGCTCGTCGAAAAAAATCTCACAATGATTCTGATAGTATAAGTCAGGAATAAAATCCTCGTAAACTAATTTCAAGTTATTTAGGGCTCAGGTGTTTACTTCTGTGTGTAAGTGTAAGCACACGATATATGGCTCGGATTTTTCAGTGAGTTTTAGTGTAGCAGATGGCTTCCAACTCGAAATTGCCACTGAATGTAAAAAGCTTGGCGTTTTTTTTATCAGAATAAATGTTAAAATGCTCAAAAAGTTACTGACGGGCATTCATACATATTAATGCATCTATAAATGAACTTACGTATGCCTGCGTTTTGTGAATTCAATTCAAATTCATCTGCTGAAAGTTTGGTAAAATGAATTCTCCAAATACGAACGTGACAATGGCGCAAAAAAACGACTTAGTTTCGAAAGTGGAGTTTAATTTTTGAATTTTCCAGCGGAATAACAATTTCACTCAAAAGTCAAAAATAATCAATCATTTTTTATTCGGTTTCCGTGTTCTTTACAATTTTCCAACTATCTGTTAGCTATGTTTTTGTTTTTAAGGGTGAACGTATTACAGCAGTTTATCATCTGGAGAACCATGTTTAGTGAACATGCGTTATTATATATATTTATAGCTTCAACAGGATGCATGTGTTGATACGTTTTTCAAATTTTTTTAACATAAGATTTAAAATACTAAAAGGTTTTTCCTTGAAAAGTTAGTTTTGCAAATGTTGAAAAGGGAGTGATTTAGGAGGGTGAAATCATGACAGGAAGAGTGACTCTAGCTGCAAATTCGAAACAAAGTTACGACGTCGATATGGTTTTGAAGAATACCAGTACCAACTTCGAGTCAACTAACTTCCTCGACCTCAAGAACCCCTTGTTCCGCTACACGGGACAACCTCCACAACCACCTCCGGGAACCCAAAGCCAGACCCAGAGTCCAACCGAGAACTTCTGGGGCAACTTGGCCCAATCGGGCGTTGCTCAAGTGAATGGACAAGTACAAAGTGGGCTTCAAATCGGTCAGAATATGATGCAAAATGGATATAATGGTGTGATCAATCAAGCGAATAGTGGAGTATATGGGGCTGTAAATGTCCAACCTGGACAGGTTGGAGGCAGAGGAGCAAGTTCACCCACAGCAGCTGTAACAGGAGTTAGGGTCACCGCAACTCAGGGCATAACAACCGGAGTTGCGAGTATGACTGTAAATACAAGACCCCCGATGGGACAGCAACAGACGTTTCAAAGCAACGTGCCTCCAGGGGTCCATCCGAACATGCAATTCGATACGAGTGCGTTCGGAGATTTCATGAATCGGTTTCCAAGTCAACCCCAGCAGTTCATGCAAAACCAGAACTCAGGATCCGGTGCACAGAATCACCTCGGCCTGGCTCAAAGCTCACACTGAATTTAGATAAGAAGTATTGAATAAAAAACCATAGAAGTACCAGGATAAGATATCTGATGTACTAGAATTCAAACATACTGCCGGTAATAGGTACTTCAAGTTTGCACCTCAAGTACCTTTTTGAACAGAACCTAACAAATCTTTCGTCGAAACTTTTGATTTGATTAATTTATTAGATGTTTTCTTCCTAATGTTAAGTTGATATGAAATCATTTCTCTTTCGTTTTCTAGCCTTGGTGTTTATTTTCCATATTCTAGAAAACCATTTGACGTTTTGATTTGTATTTTTCTTCTGAAGTAATTGAATTGTATGAGAGATGCCTAGGAATGATCACGTGAGATTCGGCTAGTCCAATTTATGAAAAGTGACGCCTTTTTCTTATGTTGCGAAGTTGTATTGTAATTTTCTGTTTTCGCATTAATTTAAAACAGACTATTCTTTCAATAGTTTTCCCTTTAATTAGAGAGAGCTGACAATATTACTATTCTGACCGAAAATGGCATGAGGTTTGTATTCGGTTTTTAAGTCATGAACGTAGTGAATGCTCTTATGGGTCTTGTTGATTTTAATGTTTTATCAGGAAAAAGTCTTCACTCTAAAATTTGATTTTTCGCGGTTTAAATTTTGATTTTTTTCAAAGGTCAGTTCGTTTCATTTGTTAAAAGGAAGGCTAAGTCCACAATCGAACTACGAAAGTGTTACGGCCGCGAGAAACATGATCGATTTCTACAGTACTGATTTAGATTATCGGGCAGAACGAACAACATTGGAAACTTTAAACGCGTTTTTCTCCAATTTGGTTAAGATGAGGCAAAAAATTAAGAGTACAGAAGATGCTTTGATTTTTACTAGAATTTTTATGATGCTTTTTTTTTGCAAAAATCGGAACCAAAATTTTACCCCAAAAACTGGTCAGTTAGTTTTCTTAGTTAATCAAAAACTACACAAACTACTTAATTAGTTGATAGGAAATTTATACCAAAAGAAGTCTCCTACACAGCTCAACAATGTTTGACATGGGTAGAATCTCTAAAATTTGCGCAAAACGTTAAAAATTTGTATTTAAACAAAGATTTCAAGTTTTTCATAGTAATAATGACATTGTTTGGCTATCAAGGAATAATAATTTCTCTTATACAGATTTTTGGAGATTTTATTTTTCTAGAACTCTGTTGCGCTTTGTAAGATGCTTCTTTTGATGTAAATTTATTATCAATTTACTTGGTATTTTTGCGTAATTTTTGATTTTTTGAAAAAAACGTCAAATTGACCCCGTTTTTTGGGGTAAAATTTTGGTTCCGAATTTCGCAAAAAAATTGCATCATAAAAATTCTTGGTAAAAATCTAAGCAACTTCTGTTGTCTTCAATTTTTGCTTAATTTTAACCGAGTTTGGGAAAAACGCCTTTGTCATTTCAAATGTTAATTTTGTTCGGATGATTTAAATCAGCATTAGTTTCGAAAGTGGATTTGAATTTCTAAATTTTCCAGCGAAATAAAAATTTAATCTATTGATCCAGTTTTCTCAAATTGGGTCAGTTTAATCAAAAAGTGTCAATCTTAAATTTTTCAAAAAAAAACAAGTCGATATGTTTTTTTATTTCACTGTTTTTCCAATTGTCTGTTGGCTATGTTTTTTTTGCTCGCACTCAAATTCAAGAACCACTAGTAAACTTCAGACAAATTTCGAGTTTTTAAGTTGGCTTTTTTGAATGGAGCTTTTTATAGCGCATGAAAGATATTGACATCCTGAGTTTCAATTCGAAGAAATATTTTACCTTCGTTTGCTTTTTGTAAAACTATTGGGGTTTGAAGAAATGCCAAAATTTTCTGCTTTCTACGTGGCAGCATTTTGATGTATTTGGCCGAAAATGCGCTTTAGAATTAACATAGATAGAAGTATACCGTCGTTGAAAAAGTCCCAAAGTTGGAGGGACGCTTTTGGTGATGATTGTTTCGATTTCCTGGAAGAAGAGAAGTGGAAGCAATCAAGACCATCACTATCTCCCACTCAGTCCTCACCCTTCAACATGCCTTGACTTAATAAGATAAAGTTCCCTCTTCGTGCTATGGCAGAGAGGGGTGATTTCCACTTTGAAGTGAAGTGTATGAAAATAGTTACCAAACAGTTATTAATAGATAGAAAATAGTAAGTACTATTTTTGGGCTTCAGATGGGGTATGGTAGTTATGGAAAGTGATGAGCGCCTCAATGAAAAACGTTTGAAGAGGAGAACTGAACTGAGACTGCGCATCTTAGCTGCGAGACACAAGAAACTACAACTGCAGAAATGGAAAATTACTGAGAAACTCCCAATTGAACAGAAACTCAAGGCTGCGGATCTGAAGAGCTTTGGGATCTATTATGAAAAAGTTTTCAAAAAAGGTAAGTCTAATTGCCTCAAATGTATAGTTGATTACCCAAAATTGGTAAATTTAACCAAGAATTTGTGACCTAACATGTCAATGAATTAAAGATTTATAAAAAAAGTAAAAGATATTGATATTTGCTGAGAAAAAAATTGTAGAATAGGTTAATGAAGTTTGAATGGTTTTGGAGTTTATAATGTTTTCAAGAACGAGACATTTATTTTTTATTTGTGTGTTTATCTCAGATTTGGTTGATAAATTATCATCCGGTCGAAAACGAAGGTCAGCCGACGTCGAAGATGCTGGTCCTCCCAAGAAGGCCTTGAAATTATCTGACGATGAAGCGTCAATTACTGCATCCAGTGACGTCAAAGTCAAGTTGGAACCATCCAAGTAAGCTAAATAGTTCAGTTTACTCGCCAATTAGGTATTGATTTAACGGTTCTGAATATTTAAGATAAAGGCAATAACTCTAGAAGTTTATATAGATTTTTAGGGATTGACAAAAGGAATCATTATCGATGTTAAATTTTAAAGGTTGAGCTGAAAAATTGTAATTTTAATGCTTTTGAAAAGCGCAAACGAACATTAAAACAAGGTATACAGCTGTGCCTGAAGTGCTATGAAATAGTGAATTCAAACCATGTTTGATTTTATAGACCTGAGGAGGTTGCTTGTCCACCATGCCAATCATCCTCAGACAGCCAGAGCGCCAGTCTTCCTTCCACAGATAAAATAGATCCGCTGGCAGAAAAGATCAAAGAGCAGGAGTGGATTGTTAATGAAGGAGTGTTCAAGTACCCAAGGGTTCCTTCATCAGTCTCCTCAAATGACGTCACGCCTGCATCTGTATCACCCTACAAGTCAAGTGAGGCCAAACAGCCTGGACAGTCTATTGCGATTAACAAGGTCAGTTTAGTCGAGGTTCAGAAATGTTGAAATTGTAAAGAGTTGAGAAAAATTAAGTTCAGCAAAAGAAAAATACATTCAAGAACATTATAACGTTATAAGTTTGCAGAACATTATAACGCAAATTTATTGTTGGCTTAAAAAAAGGAAATGGAGATATTGTCTTTGATTCTTATCTCAACTTTATGCAAATCCCTGATACGTGTCAAAGACTCATCATTTTGTAGCTCATTTTGGTTACACGCCCCAAACAACAGTTCTAATTGAAGCAAGGTCATCTTAAGTAGCTTGAATGTGTTCTTGTTTCTAGCCTTTTATTGTTTTTGTTCCGACCATTGAAAATGGGGAGGAACTTTGTTTTCGGGTGTGTTTTAGGTTTTTTTTTCCACTCAAAATCAGGTACCACAAATAAGCATCGGACTGAGTTGAGTGATATATCATATTAAAGTCCTTATACTCGTAATTCGAACCCTGTCGAGAAAAACCAGTTTGAAATTTTTTTTATTGTTTTTTGTCTTATTTTGAGCGAATAAAGCGAGCGAGCAGTCTTATTTTAACTGCTTAAAAGCTTACAATAGCTTAATTTGATAAACTGAGTCTTACTTGCGTAACGTTATTTTTCTTTGAGTACTTTGGCGACTTTTTGGAATCAAAATTTTCAAAAATTCAAATAACTGCAAAACTTGAAAAAAGATTTGTTTTTCAATTTGCCTATTTTACTCTGGCTATCGAATGAATATACCTAATCTCCAGTTTTTTTTGTTCAGCTCCTTTTATCACACCACGCCAAAAAAATGACAATAATTTGAAAAACTTGTAATTTCTTAGACTATGGTCGGAACATTCTGTGCTACCTGCACAGTAACCGGCTGTCCTTGTTTACTCATATATACGTTTGCGAGTGATTAGCAAGCGTTTTTAAATCGGAATATAGATGTTTATCAGCCTAACAATTTGGTTAGCAAAAGCACTTGATATGTTAATTTATAATAAAATCAAATTTCTTGACTTCTCTGGCTCACTTGCTTTGCATAGATTTAACAACTACGCCTGGGTCGGCAAATATTATTTTTCAAATCGTATCAAAATAATAGTTAGCGTATTGTTTGTTTGATAATTTTGTCGGCTTAGTTGCCACATCACGTGCTGTAAGAAAGTTTCCTCTGCTGTAAGCAAGTTTCCTTGTAGTTGCAACTGTTTTTCATTTACTCCAGTAATTTGTAAATTTATTATCCATTAATTGGTATATTATCCTTTTTGTCTCTTAAAAATTTTATTCGACCTGAATGGTGGCGGTAATGTGTTATTGTCTAAGCGATCCAATTTTGCGTAGTTTGAAGGGAATTTTATTTTTACGGCTATTGTCGGAAACAAAAGGATAAAAATCTTCAGAACTCAATGGCTCATAGATTTTTTACAATTTTGTTTTCGTCTCAACAGGAGTTGACCCAAGTTTCGTGTGCTTAGTTGCCGCTCGATAAATTTTACCGAAAACCTATTTCACCCCGTCGATTGTATTGCTGGATGCCGTTTTCATTTTACATCAGTGAGATAAAATCATGAAAATTTTACATCAGTCGAGACAAAATCATGAAGTTTTCGTAATCGTGGGTTTACCGACTCATTTACATTTTTTTAACTGTGGCTTTCGTTCAATTTTTATCTGCTGGCTTGCTGATGATTTTTTGTGTGTATCGCAAGTAATGCGACGCCCCGCTTTGCCCTTGTGTGCAAAATTGAGTCAGAATGAGATTCGCTCCGTCATATGTTTTGTTTCTTAGCGTTCCAGGTTCATTTAATGCTCTTTTGTATGAACCCTGGTTGCTTGCTCGGCAAACTAGGTTGCTTAAATTTCGTTTTCATGCTTTCAAACTTCGAGTCGTGGAGTATATCTTTTATGTGGTATAAACGAAAAGACAATCATAAGCTATTTTTAGTTCTGATTCTAGGACTTAATTTTTTAATTAAATTTTAATAGCGGTTTGAATATTTTAAGAGCGGTGTCGGCATGTTTCATGGGTAAGAAATCATTCTAATTTCAATTGAGGTAGGAAGTTTTTTGGTCTTATTATGGCTTTACTGCCAGACAGGGAACATAGGCCTGATTCTGTACAGTGCTAGACGATTTGCCTGATTCTTAACAGTGCTTCGAGCCATACTTTTGTGCTGATGATGCTAAGTTTTTTTGTGTAAATACAAACAAGGTGCTGATAGAAATAGATCTTTCCTACATTTGCAATTGGTCGCAACAAAACATGATAAATTTTAATGTTGATAAATGTGTGGCGATGACTTTCTCGCGCTCGTCGAGTCTGAAAGACTGCCAATTTGTAGGTGCCCCAATCGTTTTTGCACAATAGCACAAAGACTTGGGTCTCTATATCGCTGACAATTTGAACTGGGATGCTCATGTTGAAGAAAAGTGCAGTAAAGCAAATAAAATGTTCTTCATGATGAAGAGAAATTCCCCTCACATTTCCGTGAAAAGCAAACTCAATCTATACAAAACAATGGTGCTGCCCATTGTGATGTATGCGAGTTGTTGCTGGCACGCCTCGGTCCGGTCAATGAGAAATCTCGAAGCAGTTCAGAAGCGAGTAACGAGTTGGATTCTCCCACATTGTGAAAATTACAAGGAGCGTCTGTTATTTCTCAACCTTCTCCGTTTCGCTTTATTTGCAACTCACGGATTTGCTCATGCTGCCAAAACTTATTGCTGGTTGCTTTGATTTTGATTCTTCTGCACATCTGGCATACAGAATGAACTTCATACAAAATAAACTTGAATTCAATGCTGAGCGTTCTCGTCTATCAAAAGGAGATGCCAATTTCTGCTGTCGTGCACCGGGACTGGTGAACGAACTTCCTGCAGCGATAGATTTCAATCCCATTGGTCTTAAAGGAAGACTTATTAGTTTTCGCTGGTGCTTCTTTAGTGAAAAATACAATGAGAAAGTTTCGTGCTCCTGGAAGCTAGCTTGTGACTACTAAGAACGGTTGCCGTTTTTCTGTAAATTTGTATCTGGGGGAAACCCCTTTGTAACCTTCGTTACATAAATTCCTTTTAATAATTATCATAATAATAATAATAATAATATAACTTTGTATTTTACATAGTTCGTGGAAGGGACCACACATAGTTTGCTCCGACCATTGAAAATGTAGAGGAACTTTGCATTCGGGTGTGTTGTTGTTTTTTTCCCACGCAAAATCAAGTACCACAAGTAATTATTTGACTGGGTCGAGTGATATATCTTGCTAAAAGCCTTTTCAATCGGTATTTGAACATAAAAAATTTTGGAAAGTTTTTCAGGAAAGTTTTGATTCTTAGTGTACTTTTGAGCGAGTAAAGCGAAAGTAAACGATTGTTATATGAAAATGTATTTTTTTAGGCGCAGAAGACTTGATTTTCATTAAAAAAGTTTTTTGGAAGTTTCATTTAGCGCTTTCCTGGCAATTAAGATTTTCTGTTAAAAAAAATGAAAACTGCAAAAAAAAGAAAAAATGTAACAAATTTTTCTGTCTGTCGTTCCTGTTGTTTGTCGTTCCTTTTTGGAACACAAACATTGCTGATTATGTGTAAGTCATAACTTTCTACGCTGTGTTAGAGCCTTAATTCTGTCAACTTCAAATGTTTAGAATACCCTTCCTGCTTTGCATATCAAAGAGGAACCAAGCGATTCAGATGAAGGTTTCATAACACAGCCAGTGTGCGACAAACCTACAGAGAAACAAAAAGAATCATTAACAAATATTGGAGAAGCGTGCAAAAATTTAAGCTCAAATAAAGCTTTAGTTCCAAGTATTAGTATGAACAAAGCGCCACTCCAAGTTTCGAAGAGTAGTCCAAATGTACCTCATGCAACGTTGAATCCGAGTTCTAATTCGAAACCGATCAAATCGGAGAGTGTATCACATGAGAGTATCGTGAAATCATCGGTTGTTACATCATCGATAACAACCGACCAATCAGTGGTGGAGAGGGTGAACGAGTTGAAGATGTCGGGTATGTTGTACTCGAAGAGGCTTCCGAAGGTGATGGAACCGAGGAGGTGTAAGACCCACTGGGATTACTTACTTAGGTTGGTCGATTCGAAACTAATCATAGTAAGATAAAACAAGAAGTGCAATCAGTAGCGACGGAGAATCATGATAGTTTATCATTTTAATAGGCATGGAACTTATTTTTTTTTAATCTTGAAAAAAGATCTTGTAAGAAGTGTTGCACCAATATAGCACATGATAGGAAGATTTGACGAGATTAAAATAAAGCGACTTAAACTATGCTTAGAGATGTCGACCTGAGTGTCTTTTTTTTCGAATAATTGGGATCCTGGTATTGAGTTTTGGTTGAAATGCTTTTGTTTTCAGCGAAATGATTTGGATGCACACTGATTTCTACCAAGAGCATCTTTGGAAGCTAAATGCAGCTCGAGTTCTAGCAGAGGCGTGTCGTAAGTTTCTCATAGTCGCTCAAGACCCTTCTGCCAGTCACCCGTCTTCACATTTCGTGCTACCTCGAGACTTCATTCTCAGACGGAAAACATGTCGATCTGTAGCGTCAGTAATCAGTTCTTTTTGGTCGGACGCTTCAAAAGTTCTGGATATCAAATTGAATTTACTGGAACAGGAAAACGAAAGACGACTCGCTAAGGTAGAGTCAGATATGGACGCGGTAGCATGGAACAAGAAATTAAATAGCTCGTTCTCGCCTGTAGCTGCTCACAATAGTTTGTTCTCTTCTGATAAAACTCTCAATAAACTAAATACAGATAGTCTGAATGAAGACATATTTGTAGTTGCGACTCAGTTAAGCGCTGATTCGGACAACTCTCATATAAGTTTGGGTCTCGATTCAGCTGAAATGGAAAAGGAGGTGGGTCACATTATGCGAATGGACGATATCTTCAATGAGTCCTTTATTGACGCGGGAAGTGATAAGTTTTCCCTCGTGAACAAATCACCAGGCACTTCATCGGCCACTTCGCTTCCACCTGTCGGCTGGCACCCGACGCCTGGCGACCACGTTGCAAGCCTGGAGCTGAAATTCTTAGCAGTTGAGAAATATGCGCTTAGTTTGATAGAGTTAGTTTATCACGGTGAATTGTTGCCATTGAAAGATATAAATTATGAAGCGGATGAAGATATGTTAACAGTTCAAAGATCGATGGTCGAAGCTGAGTTTCGTTGCGTGACTGACAATGAGCCTATGTTGACGTATTTTCCGCCAACTCCACCTATGGATGAAAATGATGTTTACATTGACGAATCTCTGTTGTACTTGTACAAACTGTCACCTATGAAGGAATCGCAGCTACCGCCTTTGCCGCCTTCAGCATTGAAAAAATCAGAAGACAAAAAGTCATCGAAGGATTCCTTGGCAGCAATTCCTTCTTTCGGTGCCTCAAATGAGAAAACTGTAATAGCGACCCCGCCATCTACACTATTCAATGCTTTTTCGCCAGTTTCGAACTCGGCCGCTAAGAGTAAGTCTGAACTTCTGGCAAGACGTTCACAAGGAGTATCGATTGCAAGACCGTTTTTAAAATCACCAAATTGTCCCTGTAAAGGAAAACCGGTGATGCAAAGCATGGTTAACTTGGATGGGCTGTGTGAGTGGTTGCCGAATGAAGATTACGCACTCGTGAGTGCAATACTCGGGGTGCAACAGTTGCCACCCGACTTGACCAATGTGATGCCGGCCATTACTCCGAACTGGGACTTCGTATCGGTCGCCGTGAACAATCTGGCTAGAAGCTATAGGTGCGCCTTCAGTTTAGCTTATAAATGAAAAACGATTTTTCGAAATATTTTTCTTCGAGCGATTTTTTAATCTTCTTGAATTTTTTTAGAACTTAGATTTTAGGTTTCATATTTTTCTACGTTTAACGGATCTTGCTACAAAATGTTCAATTTTTGAGCAGCTTGTGAAAATTATAGACCAGCCCTACTTTTAAGTATTTCGTGCAATGTTTCAGGTCATCTAAGCAATCCAAGGTGCGGTATGAAAAGTACATTAAACCACGAGAAGAAGGCAGAATTATAAGCACAGAAATGAAACGCAAACAAAAACAGAATTCTTCGAACCCGAACGACCCAAAAGCTCCTCCGGAAACTTGGAACAAACAAACAAAACTAGCCAAGACAAGTCAGCTTTTGATGCAAGACATGAATAATTCGGCTACGTATGTTTTCGGAAGCAAGTTCAGTTTGATCAGAACTGCAGTTAGTCGTCGTACGAGGCAGAATCATTCGGTTCAGTGGAATGCAGTGCCGACATCAAAGAATCCGAGACATCTGCAGTCGTTTTCGGACTGTAAAATAAACTACGATAGTCCTTTGACGCCCCAATACCTGTCGGAACAACGAGCGATTAGATTGAAGTCGGAAAAGCGATCCCAAAACTCGGCTGGTATTGGTTCGAGTAAACTAGTGGATAATTTGTTCACGGGTAGCCAGTACACCGGCAGTGGATTGAAGAGATCACAGTCGACAATTATTGCGCCGAGAACAGGAGGGCAGTCATCGTCTTCGCCTTCTATTAATATTCCAGCTGCACTTTGCAGGCAGTATTCAGCAACGGCCGCGCAGAGAAAGTGAGTAAAAGGCATTTTCTAGATTTCAAAGTTCTCTCAAACTTGTTATTTAGACTAGACCATCGAATTTGTTATTAAGGCCATCGCATTTGTCTTTTAAACCATCGATATTGTGATTTCGATCATCATTTTTTGCTTGTAGAAAAAATTTTATTAAATGTTTTTGACGTTAAAGCGTTTCTTTTTCACAAAACGTTCTTGTTCTTGCTCGTTTTTATTGTTTTTCGAGATTTTGAAGTTAGATTCTTTTTCCAGTTTACTTCAAATTATTTTGGTTAATGGAAGGCAAATTACGGTTTTTACGCTTACGATAAGCAAGCGTTATCAAACTGGAGTATGGTTTTTTTTCGGGTTAACAACTTGTTTAACAAAATCAATTGAACCACTAGACTTCATTCACATGCACACGTGCAAATTCAAGTTAAAATATCGGTACTACTACTGGTACTACTACTGGTACTACTCACAGTTTTTTTAAGAAATAATGTCTTTGAAGACAAAGTTTTTGAAGACAAAATATTCTGTTTCAATTAATTTTTCGGACTATCGTCAGTCTTTTTTTAAGAAATAATGTCTTTGAAGACAAAGTTTTTGAAGACAAAATATTCTGTTTCAATTAATTTTTCGGACTATCGTCAGTCTGATTGTTTTGTCGGCTTAGTTGCCGCATCACAAAACTTTCTTTTTTTTACAAAGTTTTTACAGAAAATGTATGATAGCTTGGCTTACATCAAAATCAAACCTTATTAGCTTTTCAGACACACATGATTTTTGGGGAAAATACTAAGCCTGAGATGGTAAAGGTCCTTTGTTCGAATCTGACCAGAACTTTTTTTATTCAAAAGGGAAATATTCCGTTAAAAAAAATTGTCGATCTGTAGTGTGTCTGCTTTTGTTTGTTCGGCTTAGTTGCCTTCTTACTGATTTTTGCTGAGCTGTAATCAATTTTTTTTGTAACTGAAAAAAGAGTTTTGATTTATTAAAGTTATGTGTAAACTTCTAAGTTTGTTATTTTTTTCCTCTGGTTTGTTTGGCTTCAGCTGTTTTTGCTTATGTTTTATCGAGTAAGTGACCTAGTTTTAAAGGATAAATAGATTTATACGCTTTTGTGTGTCCGGAGGGGCGAACGTAAAAATTTGGATTTTCGGAACTTTCAAAAGTTTTTCAATTGAAAACAATTTTGCTCAACGGAACTCTCAACAACTTTTGCCGGCTTAGTTGACGATCAATTTTTGTGTCTGAATACTTATTAAACGCCTCCTATTGTGATTTTGGACGTGTTTTTGTCAAATTGAACATCATTCCAGACAAATTTCTCAATATGTTCAAATTTTTTTTCGACGTGTTTTGTTTCATTTTCTGTCTGCTAGCTTGCAATGCTATGTGAGTGTGGTATCGCAAGTGATGCGAAGCTTCGCTTCGCCTCTGTATTTAATATTTAATGATAAAAAAGCTAATGGTATGGAAACTAAATGGTTATTTGCGGGTAATTGTTAAAGAACTGTAGTTGTTTGTTAAGGATGCCAGTACAAAGCGGCGTTTCAATCAACTCCGTGAACCAACAAAGAAACACAATCAGTTATGTAAGCCAAAGTCAAAACCACCAACAAACTGGCTCAATACGAGTCGTGCAAACCGGCGAAACATCATCGGTGGCTCAGAAAGTGACGGCCGATTACCAGAGAATGATTCTTTCAAACAAACAGCGCGATTCGTTTTTGGGTGCAGCAAATCCAAATCAGTCTTCAGCAGGTAATATTGGTTATTGTTGATACCCATGCAATAAGCATGCGTGTTTTATTCGCTTCGTTAGAGCGCATTCGTTGCTGCCTCGTATTTGCTAATGGGAAAGTTGGTTAAGCTAGGAAGACTTGTGTTTCATACTTTGGGGGACGCCGAGTTGATTCTCGTAGTCGGTTAAATGTATTTATCTTTTGAAGCCTTGTTTTCTTGCAATTTTAAAGTTCATTTGTCATTTCTTTGCTGGTTTGTCAAGTGTAAAAGTTAGCTAAAATGGCTACAGGGAAAAGTATTGCTGGAAAATCTTTCCAAAAATTTGTTGTGGAGGTTGCTAAGCGTATTTTAAGCCACCTAATTGAATATTTTTACTTTTTTTCCAGGTCAAAAACAGAGAATAGGCCAGCTGATCCAGCATCAGGGCTCAGGTGGAGTACAACAACAGTCGGGGTCTAACTTGAGTTCCCCTGTAGTTTACAATATAGCGGGCAAGGGGGCAACAGGGCGGGTGAGTTTGGGGGAGGGACAAGACGGGGTGTCGAGTGTGGTCTCAGTGGGTGGAGGTGTGAGAGGAGTTGGAGGAACTTCGAATGCCGGACAGATTGCTGCTAAGTTTGGTGAGTCTTCATCATACGTTAAAAAGCAATGACGTATGAGCTACGATACGCTGAGGACTTTGTTGTAAGGTACTTATTGTGCATGTAAACTGTTAACTGAGCTTTGTTGTACCTCTTTTGACCTTCGATTAGACGTTAATTTATTGGTTAGTTCAGTTCACTGGAAGTTCGAGGTCATAATTGATTCTCCAGGAATGTTTCCTTAATTTTGTTTAAAATATGCTTTTAAAAAATTCGTTGTTTTTGAAAAGTTTAATTCCAAGTATGCCTCTTTGTATCCATTATGCCTTGACATCTGTGGAAAAGTGAATTAGAAGTAATATTTGCTTTTGTAATACCATAAAGATCTATCTAATCATGGATTCCAAAATAGCAATAATTTCTGTTCAGGTTACATTCAGCCAACTGGCCGAGCATCCTTAGCCGCTCAATTAACAGCCCAATCAGGTGGCAATCTATCCCCCTCACCAAACCACATCCAGATGAAGTCTATAGTCTCTTCGTCATCTTCGCCGAGTGCTATATCTGCACAATATGGAAACATACAGCAGACATCTTCAGGTGGCATTGGAAGTAACATGGGAACAGCAGCAACTGCAAGATATGCTACAGTTGTACAGCGAGGAAACAATAGTTCTCAAGGTAAATTTATGACTAAAAACTTATGGATGACAAATTATTTTTTTTAACGAAAAATTGCATTGAACTTAATAAATCTTATTCTAGGTAGGTCTTAGCTTCTTTTAGGCGAAGTCTTTAAATTTGTTCACTATCTATTTTTTTTTATTTTTTTTGGTTCGATTTGTGTTTTCTGAAGTACCATTATTTGCATTTTTCCCTTGCCGTTTTAAGAATTAATTTTTGCTGTTTTGTGTCCGTGTTTGAGAAATGGTGCGTCGTCTGTAATATTTAGGTGTCGGAGCGAAATAAAAAGTAATCCCTTCTGTTCAACTTCAGACTCTTATGTAAGTCTTGATGATTTTTGTTTTCGAGGCTCAAACTTATTTTTTTTTGTGGTATGACTTTTGATTTCTTTTTGAGCTCAGCTCATTTCCTTTGTTAAAAGGAAGGCAAACTCCACTATCGGACTGCGAAAGTGTACAGGTCACGAAAAACGTGATCGACTTTCAATTTCGAAAGTGAAATTTAATCATCAGATTTAATTATCAGCCAAACAAAAGTTTCACCTATTGATCCAGTTTTTTTTCCAAATTGGGTTAATTTTACCAAAAAGCTGCCAATATTTAACTGTTAAAGAAAACCAAAGAACTTTAAGGTCATCTTTTTTTCATTGAATTTGAAAGCAAGTCAGTATTTTTGTTTCTGTTTTCTTGTGTTCATTGACTCTTTTCCAACTTTCTGTTGGTTATGCTTTTCTTTGGAAATCGAAGGGTCGAAAAAATGATTTTTTTTTGTTCCTTTTTGTTGATGGACATCTTTCCAACGGTCTTTTGTCCTAGTTTAAACATATAAGATCAAAAAGAAGGTCACCGTTTTGTTACGAACAGGTCGTAAAATGACTGGAAGGAACTTTGGCGCAGGGTGGGTTTTTCGTTCGATTTTCTGAAACTCAAAGTAGGATTTAGAAACACGGGTTTGATTTTTCGGCTTGAGATAGAAAATTTAGCGAAAGAGTTTTCAATTTAACTTTATTGTTAGCGATTTTTATCTAATTCTTTCCATTTATAACTAGTCGGAACATACTGTGATATTTTCCCAGTGACCCAGTAATGGGTCAATCTTGTTTTCAACTTGGATTAGTTTATTTTACTTTTGCGAGCGTTAGTGTATTAATACGAACCTTCTTTTTTTCTGACTCAACTCGCAAATAAAATTTTTCATTGAAAGTGTTCACTTATATGGAAATTTCACTGTAGCATCTGTTCTCTGCTTTATTTGTGGGTAGTGTTTGTCACTAGTTACGCGTCCGTGGCTGAGTGGCAAGGGCGTGGGACTCAGAAATTGTTGGCCGTAGGTTCGAATCTGAGACGTAGCTTAATTTCTACTAATTCGAGGCTTATTTCTACTTTTTCTTATTGCATTTTATAGAGCTGCTTTTTGTGTTCTCGCAATTGTTTGCTAAGCACAGCTTCACCTCTGTGTTTAAACAGTGCTGATCATAATTTTTTCGATTAAAAATAGTATTGAAGCTGTATAATTTGCTCTAAGATACTGATTTTTGAAAGTTTTTAAACTTTACTTTGAAGTTTCAATATTGAAGATCATCTGTATAAATAAGTAGCTTTCATGGAGTTAGTGCAAAAATGATTGAGCTATGTGTTTTTTTTGTCTGTAGGTGTTCAAAATATTTCCCAGAGTGTAGCAGCTCAAATCTACTCGGGAACAGCAGCAGCAGGACGGATTCATACGACCGGAAATTTATCCACTGCAGCTCAGCTACTAGGTCGACAGGCTATTCGAAAAACAACTCCTAATAACTCAATGGGTCAAAGCGCAGGATTCGGTGGCAATAATTTGGCAAGTCCGAGAAATTCACCAATTGTGGTTCCAGCTACTAATCAAGGTACGCCTTAATTTTTTTAGATGTAGCCTGTTTGTAGTTTTAGATTAAGGATATATTTAGCGCTCTGATGAACATTTCACACGATTATTAAGAGTAATGAACGTTGTGAGTACGCCTGTATTAGTCTTGATATTTTAAAAGGCTTTTGACTTTTGATTTTTTTTTAAACTGACTTCATTTCCTTTGTTTACACTAGCCAGCTTAAGCGAGCGTAGTATAATAGTACGACTATGTTTTTCAACCTCAGTCGCAAATATTGGTGCCACTTTTGGGGCACCTTTGCGGTATTGGTAACATGTGCTTAGACATTCGAAGTAATAAGTTAACACAGTTAATACATTTTTGATTGATCATATGAACCGAAAAAAAAGTTTTGTTTCCAAACAACAGTGCAAAAAAATTCCATTTCAGAATTTTTCCTACTCAATATATCTGGCATGTTTTGAAACGCATAAATTATTGCTTTCCATTTTATGTCATGCAAATTTAGCGTAGACGTCTTTAGCTTAGTCTCCAAATCAGGGGTGGATCTAGGATTTTCTCGAGGGGGGAGGGGGGTTGGCTGTCTGAATTTTCGATTTTTTTTAAGGTCAACCAAATAGATTTTTCGAGCTCTCCCAAAGCACTAAAAAGTCCCTGTTAAGGGCAAAATTTCTGCGCCACAGGCAAAACTTTGAAAGCCAAAAAGGGCGTTTGCATGCACTTTTTGGGCAATTTTGAAAAATTTTAGGTTCCGCCACCCAAAAATGGATATCTCAAAATAGTACAAAGGGGGACCCTTAACGTCGGCAGGGGGTCGAATCCCTGCCTGAAGGGGGGCGTCTGTCCCCTCCCTCCCCCTTCCCTAAATCCGCCCCTGTTCCAATTTATTACATGCAAAATTTGTATATATTTATATCAGGTGTCACTTGCTGCATCGCATTTGCAATTTCTTAGCATCGATTTTTTTAGTGGGTAGTGTTAGTAAATTGTCAAGGACCCGTGACGCAGATGCGAGGACAGGGGACTCTAAATCTCCTTGTTGTAGGATTGAATCCGACACAGCAAAATATTTAATTATCAAGGCTTATTTTTTACCTCTTTTCTTTTTATTTCTATTTATAGAGCTGCTTTTTGTCGTTTTCTCGCTAGTGTTTGCAAAGGAAAACAGCAAAGACATAAAAATCACGAAAAACGTGATCGATTTCCCATTTCGAAAATTTCGATTTTGATGACCAGTTTACCCACCGAAATAGAAATTTTACCTAATAATTCAATTTTTTCGAATTAGATAAATTGTTCGTGAAATTTAAAAATCAAAGAGCTTTAACGGCATATGTACATTTTTTTTTAATTCGAAAGTTGAAGTCTTTTCAAAAAACAACATTTTTTCTGTTTTCTTGCGTTCATTGCTCTTTTTCAACTGTCAGTTGGCTATGTTGTTCCCGGGCTTATGTCCTCATGATCTTAAAGCTTGCAGTTAGAAGCTTAATTGGTGTTTTTGCCTCTAGTTTCCCTGTTATTAAGGTTGAATATGATCCATAAATATCCGATTTACGTATTTCAGTTGTTTCAAAAACGCTTCAAAAATACATTTATTCAATTGTTAATATATTTTTCTGTTTGCCAATCGTGGGCTGAAATATACGGCCATGAATCTTGAAGCAATAGGAATTTAATCCAGAACCTGCATATGCAAGTACAATTACGAGTCGGCAAACCACAAATTACCTAAATTCGTTCACATTTATTCAACCAGAAGTTATTCACATCGGAAACAATTGTGATGATTTCTCGAAACCTTTTACAACTGGAGTAGAATTTGATCTGATCCCTGAAGGCAAACTTCCGTGAATTTAATTTTGGTTGTTTTTGGTTTCAGTGACGTCTCAGTTACAGTTTAGTTCGAAACAACAGCATCAATCGGTGGCATCGTCATTTCTACCCGCTTCATCTGTCTTCGACACCTCAAATAATTCACCCAGTTTAACTGGCTCATCAGTCCCTCCTGTCTCGCAAATACAGCCAGCGAACACAAGTGCCGCCAATCTGACATCAAACTCAAGAAGATCTGCGTTTGTTCAACCATTACCGTCAGTTACGACGCCTGTGAATAACAGTAATAGCAACAGAGGATTAGCTCATCAGAATAAGAAGTAATTGTTAGTTTTTTCAGTGCAATTCGAGAAGGTCCGAAGAAAATATTCAAATCTTTATAATGCCAATGAAACTATATTTTGAGAAAGATGCACTTTATTTGTTAAAAACTCAAATTGCAGCTCAATGAACTCTTTGCTGTTTTAATCTTCAAATTTTCACTTTCGTTTTTCGCACTTAGATTTGTTTATGATATATATTGATTGAGTTTTATTTAGTTCGTATATTTTACTCTAGAGCAATTTAGCCAATAGTTTCTTCAGTTTTTTTCTTAGAATAAGTAATCATTTTTTGCTGGTCTTTTTCTGTAATTAAGTAGAAATAAGCTATTTACTAAATTAAGCTTGTATTCCAGTAAGCAAAAATATTCGTTATGCTATGTGATCTTTTTTTTGAGAAAATTGCCTTTGCCTGAGCGTTTCAAGGTGTTGCTGATTGAATCGATGCGCAGCGTGATCCGTGCCTACTTGGGTTCAAGTATGATAGTTGGGTGTGTCCCATAAGTTCGAAATGTGGCTCTTGAAATTTGGTTAATGACCAACGTAATTTTCGAAAACAGCATTTAATTGCCAACGTAAGTTGATATTGTCAAGACCATAGCTAGACTCATTTCATATATATGCTGTTACCAGGGAACGAATTATCATTTTTACTCACCTGCTTGTTGCTTGAAGGCCGTTTTTCAAACCAGCCTTTTTTTAAAACAACAGTTTATTCTAAATGCATCTTGTTCCAAACAAAGATGTTTCTTTTTTTTTCTTTCAGGTTGAATGCAATTGTAAAGAGGGGTCTGTCTATTTATATTTCTCATAATTCTTCTATGGAGTAATCTCATCCGCATTATCTCTGCTTCCAATATATTAAATAGCTGGTCATCGATTCGTTACACATCTTCTTTTAGATTACATTTATAAAGACACAATTGTCATGTTGATGTTGTTTTCGTGATGTCGGTTGATTGCACGAGTAGCGTCGTTTGGGGAGGACTCGTGTCCGACGACTCGTCAGAATCCGAAGACATTTACGAAATCGCGCATGACGTCATTCATTACCAGAACCCGATGCCAGAACCTGCATATGTAAGTACAGCAACTACGAGTCGGCAGAACATAAATAACTTAAATTCATTCACACTTATTCAACCAGAAGTTATTCACATCGGAAATAGTTGTGATGATTTCTCGAAACCTTTTACAACTGAAGTAGAATTTGATGTGACCCCTGAATGCAATTTGACCGAATCGGTTTTAGATTTATTGGACAAACCAGTACCTTCGGTTATTTTTCTTAATGAAGATCAATCTAATTACAATGAAACGAACCAGGAAATCAAAAAATTTGGCCAAAAACAGTTGTGTCAGAGCGATGCCAATATTTTCATGAAACTGGAGTCAGACGAAGTTGATTCAAAAGAAATAACGAATGGCAATGTATCGACAAATTGTGAGCCGCTGTTTGATTCGGTTCCCGCAAGACCGTTATCGGTTCCGGAAAGTTTAGGCTCGGAGTCCACTGATGCTAAAACGCCCATTGAACTGGTGCTTGAAGATTTGACTGAGTGCGAAACTCGACAAGTGGCTCCTGGGACGTCTTTAAAGTACAAAGAAATTAAAAGAAAATACAAGAAGCGCGTCGACAAAATTCGAAAAATGAAACAGGAACAAGAGCTAATTGATGAAAATAATGTACCTGGCTTAAATTTCGCTAGAATGAAGAGAACGTATGTTAAAAGAAAACCGCTGAAACCGAAAATTCCCAAGCCGAAAATGAAAACTTTTGCTGAACTATCCTTGCATATATACTCAAATAAAAAAATGGAATTGGAGGAACGATTGAAAAGCTTAAACAAATGCGACGTGTGCGGTGCTCAACTTAGCAATCAAAAATTTAAATGGCTGCATATGAATAATTGCAATCAGCAAAACGAAAACGAGCCAGCCAAAACAACTGGTTCGAACTCAGAACAAAAGCGCCTAAACGAGGAAAACAAGCTAGGATCTGAAACTTCTCTCAGACCTCAAAATGATGTTATTGCTGTTCATGATGATGATGACGATGTTTTGGTTGTGAACACAGTAAGGAAAAATTTATTCAAGTGTCCTTATTGCCTATTAGACTTTTCATCCGAAGTTCATTTAAAAGGCCACTTTTCAGTAATTCATGTAACTTCACATAAACTAGGCTGTTGTCGGTTTTGTCGTTTACACTTGTCAGAAAGCGAAGAAAAAAATGAAACGCCATATTGGATGTCATCGCATCCAGTCAAGTATGATAAAGTTGATTCGGTACAGAGGTGTACAATTTGTGGTGCTATGTTCTACAAAAATAAAACGGCCTTTAAAAGACATCTAGCTGTCCATTCTGATGAAAAAACGCTCAAATGTCCTAGTTGCGATTCTAGTTTTGGAGATTTTAGCGAACTGAGAAGTCACGTTTTAAATCAATCCTGCTGGAGAACAAAGGAGAAAGGTTGCATTCTACTGTGCCATGTTGAAAGATTGTTGACGAATTACTTCAAGAACCTCAAAAACTGTATTTACAAACAAGATTCAACGCTGCAAAAGTGCAATAAAATACCCGAGACCAGTTATGTGCAGCGCCTAATTGAGAATATTCTGACCAAATTGCCAGAGGTTTGTTTGTTTTTGTCTGCTTTCTATTGTTAAATCGATCTATCTATCTACAATTTGTATCTATCTATCTATCTATCTATCTATCTATCTATCTATCTATCTCTCTATCTATCTATCTATCTATCTATCTATCTATCTATCTATCTATCTATCTATCTATCTACCTATCTATACTTTGTTTAATTGGCCTCTCACTTGACACATGATGTTTGAGTCTCCATGCAAAAACACCATTTGTACGATATTAAAAATTTACTGAAGTCAATTTTTTTACACTGTATATTGTCAGCAAAGTATATTGTTACGAGCCTTTTTTTCTTACCTAACTCGCAAATAAAAGTGTGCACTTACAAGTTTCACTGTAGCATTGGAAATTACATAGCATCTGTTATCTATTATATTTTTAAATGCAGGCTTCACTATCTCGCCATGTTTAAGCTTTTTCAACGTAATATTTTTGCATGTTTAAGCTATATCGTATATTGCAATGGTTAAGAAATTTTTTTCGATATTCCAGTTTGATTTTAGTGGTTTTTTACCGAGTTCAAATCAAGCTGCCCAATATCGAATTAGGGTTTGTGAATTTGGCCTCCACTTTTGAATGCCCGAATCATTTAAGTTAACGAGATAAGACGATTTTTGAGATTTCAAAAATTTTCAGAAATTTCAAATAACAAAATAATTTACAAAACTTGAAGTTCCCAACCCTGTAGTTGGGTACTGCCAGAGTGCTATCAAGGATTGTTAGTCTTGCCTCCGAATATGACTGCTCAAATGCTTGTAGTTTTCGAGATATGTTTTTTGTGACTTTTCAAAAAACTTCAGAAGTCAATATAAATTATTATTAAGTTATTAGAAATTATTATTATGATTCAAAAATTTTAAATTCGCAATCCTCTAGTTGGGTACTGTCAGAGTACTACCAAGGATTGCGAGTGTTCCAAATTTGACTGCTCAAATCCTTGTAGTTTTCGAGATATGACGTTTTTTGTGATTTTCTTCAAAATGTTTCTGAAAAATTTAATTTATTATTTTTCAAAATTTGAAATTCGCAACCTTGTAGTTGGATGTTGTCAGAGTACTCTAAAGAATTACAAATTTTGCCTCCAAATATGATTGTTCAAATCCTTGTAGTTTTCGAGATATGACGTTTTTTGTGATTTTTTCAAAAAGTCTTCAGAAGCTTTTTTTGATTTTTTCCGCAAAATCTGGAATTCGCAACCCTGTAGTAGGGTGCTGTCAAAGTACTCTGAAAGATTGCGAATCTTGCCTCCAAACATGACTGCTCAATTCTTTGTAGTTTTCGAGATATTACAATTTTTGTGATTTTTTTCAAAAATTTTCAGAAAACTTAAATAATTACGATTTTTTAAAAATCTGAAACTCGCAACCCTATAATTGGGTTCTGATAGAGTACTTTTAAGGATTGCGAGTCTTGTCTCCAAATATGACTGCTCAAATCCTTGTAGTTTTCGAGATATGATGTTTTTTGTGACTTTTTCAAAGTTTTCCAGAAAATTTTAATTAATTTTTCTCAAGGTTTGAAATTCGCAACCTTGTAGTTGGGTGCTGTCAGAGTATTCTAAAAAATTACAAATCTTGCCTCCAAATGTGACTATTTTTTGTAATTTTTTCTTAAATTTTCGGAAAAATTAAATTATTATGATTTTTAAAAATCTGAAATTCCCAACCCTGCAGATAGGTCCTGCCAGAGTACTCTCAAAAATTGCGAATCTTGCCTCCAAATATGACCTCTCATTTCTTTGTAGTTTTCGAAATGTGACGTTTTTTGTGATTTTTTCAAACTTTCAGAAAGCTTAAATTAATTGTTTTTCAAAATTTGAATTTCCCAACTCTATAGTTTGGTGCTTTCAGGGTATTCTGAAGAGTTGCAAATCTTGCCACATGCGACTGCTCAAATGCTTTTAGTTTCCGAGATGTGACGTTTTTTAATTTTTTCAAAGTTTCTCAAAGAGCTGATCTACAAAGAAATTCAAAAAATTTGAAACTACTAGCATGATGAAGATACAACCTTATTGTCAGCGTACACTCTGGCGTCTCAAATCTTGCCTCTTAATATGAATGCTCAAATCCTTTTAGTTTCCGAGATAAGACGTTTTTTTTTAAATTTTTTTTCGGGAAACTTAGGCTTAAAAAAATTCACAAAATTTTGAATTTCTAACCCTATAGTAGGGTGCTCTCAGGGACTCTCAGTGGTTGCAAATCTGGCCTCCAAATTTCTCCAGAGGCCCATTAAGTTTTCGAGATGACGCTTGTAAAATGGGAATTAAAAAAATAAAAAGTTCGAAATTACCAACCCTGTAATTGGGTGCAGTCAGAGTACACTAAAAGTTTGTAGATGTTTCAAATATATGCGGTTTTTCATGAGTTGTCGAAAAATATCGAAAAACCGGATGTGCGTTGAACGCTAGTCTGCTTTATTTGTGACTAGTGTTTGGCTAATAACTATTAGGCTTCTGTGGCGGAGTGGTTAAGGTGTGAGACTCTTAATCTCTAGGGTGAATGTACGAATCTCAGACGTAGCTGAATTTTTTGCTAATTCGAGGCTCATTTCTACTTTTTCTTATTGCACTTTATAGAGCTGCTTTCGTCTCGTGTTCTCGATAGTCTTTGCGAAGCGAAGCTTCGCTTCTGTTTAAAATTTTTATTTGATTGTTGAAGTAGATGTTAGTTCCAATAATGTACGGTAACGTGCAAGTTAGCAAGGTCATCTGAGATTGCACTTTACTTTGTGCAAGTGCGAATGCTGTAACCCTACAGTTCTCTCCATTTTTGACAACGTAAACTTCGTTATTTTCAAATTTTTAAGTTAGAAAGCCTAAACAAGGGAGTGTTGTCAGATTTTTTCCAGGAATTGCAAATCTGGCCATATTATTTGGATGTTCAAATGTTCGTTATGAAAATTTTCATGATTCTTTAAAAAAAAGGTGTGTAATTCTGGTGCCTATTTATGAATGCTCGAAAGTTTGCTACTTTTGCGAAAGCAAGTGCCTTGTAATCGGGAAATAGGCTTTTTTCCCGTAAACAACTAATTCTTACACATTTTCAACTTGGTTTATTATTGAATTTTAGCTACTTGCAGGGTTCTTCGCATTTGGCCTAAAGGTAAAAGGGGCATCAATGGAATGACCGCCTACTTTTCTGTGTGCTTGCTTGCTCGCCTAGTCTCTTTACCCTTCCGACAAGCAAAGGTTTTGCAATCGGGTGCTAGACTTTTTCCCCGTGAACAAATTTGTTCAGATTTCAGCGTGCATGCAGTACACGACATGCATGCAGTATGTGCGTCTATTTGCGCTCATTGGTCTCTTATTTCCATTGTGTATCCTCCTAATGAGTGTTTTCCAATAATTTGCAATTCAAATTTAATCATATTTTTTGTTATTTTTGACCTCGCCGTTTTCGATTTATTTTTTTTCTGCCTAGTTTCCGCTTTGTTTTTAACGCTTATTTAAACGTTTTATATGGATGTTAGAAAGCCGTACAAGTTTTCCAGAGTTATGGTTTCTGATTGTTTTTGTACTAACATTGTGTGGATCTAATCTTAGTTTTATTTAGTTTAGTGTGTTTAATGTTCGTAAATTTTCATTTGAAATCGATTTATTAGCGTATTGTTTTAATTTGTCAAAAATTTACTAAACAAGTCTCTTATATTTCGAAAAAAAATATACAAATTTTGAAAGAAATTCACAATTTTCCAGAATGATTTTGTTTTGCATTTTTGACATGACTGTTTTGTCTACGAATGAATATGGCGAGTGTCACACGATGGTTCTTTCCAGCTGAAAATTTTGAAAAAAAAAGATTGTTTTTTCTTTCTTTAACGGGCGTATTTCACTGCATTTGTTATCAATTATTCATATGCAACAAATTTATTGCATATGAATAATTGATAACAAATGCAGTGAAATACGCCCGTTAAAGAAAGAAAAAACAATCTTTTAAAGATCCGATTCCTTATTTGATTGTAAGAGTTGTGTTATGTTCTTTGCAAATTTCCAATATCTCTAAAATTTTCCCATATTTTAGTTGAGAAACAACCGAGGTTCGGGGCAATATACTATTTTTCAATGAACTACTTCATATCGCATCTGCATAACATTTTTATAAAGTATTAAAGTCGTACTTCCAGGTTTAGCTGGGCTCTAGGTGTCCTTCATCCAGGCACAGCTGGGACACTAGTTTTATTTTTTATCGAGACATACGAAATTTCGGCTCGCACCTGTGTTGCACTTTCTCCGTTTGTCTACAGCCTTTGAAATTTTTGGTGGGGTATTATTTGACCCATTTTTATATTTACTTGAAGTTTTCTCAAAAACTATCCTGACAAAGTGAAAAAGCTTCCCTGCATATACGGCTGCACCTAAATTTGTTTACACATAAAGATATGGCCCTCGGAATATACAAATTTTAGTTTTTTGATTATTTTCGACTTTTTTGGGAAACTAGCCCCCCAAATAATAGCGGGTAGCTGATAGTGGGAAGCTCCCCTACCTTAGCGGCCACTCACCATTTTTTTGGTACAAAAAGTTATGGCACTCGTAAAAGTCAAATTTAAGCTGCCATATATGCGAGAACTTAGCATACATATCTGAGTTTTTAATTTAAATAGAAAATAAAGATAATGTGACTTTCATCTGCGTAAATGGCTATGCCCAAAGCGGAAATTTTTTAGTTGAAATTTTTTTGGACTTTCCGAAGGCTTTTTGGACATTTCTTGATAACTATCCTGCCAGACCTGATATCGTAGGTTCAATTGAAACAACGGGTTGTGGACAGCTTAACTGCATAAATGGCCGGTTTAGAAAGTTATTAAGGCCTTCAAATAAGTCAAAGTTTTGAAAGTTGGCCTATTTTGGAAGTTTTTTGACGTCTACTCGAAATCTAGCATGCCAATTCTCGGGTTAAATTTTCAAGCGAGAAATGCAAATTTGGGAGTTTTGCCGAGTTTTAGCGGACGCGACCTGATTTTGCAGGAAAATTGTTCCGGATTTTGGAAAGTCAAGTTTTTGAATTTCTGACCGTTTTTAGAAACTTTCTTAAATACTACCCTATCAAATTTGAGATGAAACTTACAGCCGAAGGAACTGGTTGCGAGAAGTTTTACTGCAGAAGCGGTGACTCATTAATTTTTTGTGAGAAAAATGTTATTTCCTTGAGTAAATTCCATTATCTCAAAAATGTTCACTCGTCTCAATTACTTTTAGTAGAGAAACAACTTATGTTTTAGGCAGTCTAATTTTTGAAATTACGCGTATCGTCCCGCATCAGTATAACATTCAAAAATATCAAACACTTGCCTCCTGCTTTAACTGGGACCCTAGTTGTCGTTTATCGAGACATACGATAGTTTTGGTTCATCTAGTTTTTTCAACTTTTTTTCGATTTTTTTGTTTTTTTTTTGTGTCGCAAGTGGTCTTTCATTCTTTCATTAGCCCACGTTGGTGGGGTTGGGCTCGTCTGTCTCCAGGCTAAGGAACTTCGCAACTTGCACCGGCCTAAGCCACAGGTCTGCGGGAGTGAGTGGGGATGGATTCTTGGGGCAGTCAAAAATGTGGCAACTAGTGTGGGGTGCTAGGTGACAGTCCGGGCATAGTGGGGAAGCTTCGTTGTCTAGTCGGGAGAAATATGTGTTTAAAAGCCGGCTGTAACCATCCCGGAGTTGGGAGAGTTTACAGCGGGTAGTTCTGAGGAGAGATTTTTCTGAGAGGTTGACCTTACGGGGCCGTATGCAAATTACTTTAGAGGGAGGGACTTCTGCGAGGAACTTGGCTACTAGATTTATGTAGTTGTGTTTTAAAAGGCACTTTTGGTGGTTAAAAACCAAAGTGGAAACTTCTTCTGGGTTATTAAGGTTGAGTGAAAGGTTAAGATTGGTTAAAACTGAGTCAATGTCTTAAAAAACGCTTAAAATCGATTGTCGAACTTGACGTGGAGGTGTGGGGTGTGAGTGGTAAAAAGTATTTGGGTGATGGGAGTGGTACGACGAGATAAAAATTAGAGAGGTTAAAAGAGTGTAGTGATTTGGAACATTGAGGATCTCGACCTGACTGTGCATGTGGGCAGTGGAACTCGAGTGTTGAGCCGGTAATAACTCTGAGGGCTTGATTTTGGGTAACCTGCAGGTAATTAGTGGAGGTTTTGCTAGCGGCATGTGACCAGCCAGGGGAGGCATTATCTAAATTAAGGCTTAGTAGGTTAAGAGAAGGGTTTCTTTAGGTTGTCCCCAAGAGGTCCTGCCAACGCGTTCAGGACACCTATCCTGCGGCGAGCCTTAGCAGTGGATCTTTCACAGTATGCAGCAAAGCATAAGGTTGGATCAAAAGTAGCCCCTGAAGTTTTTGGGTTTTTGTTAAGAGGGAGTGGCTCGTTCGTTAAAATCTTTATTGTACGATGAAAAAAGAGTAACTGATCCTTTAAAGGACGCGAAAGATAACTTCGTGGAAGTGAAAAAATTAAAATCATGATAAAGTTCATCGTTCAACGATCGAGATGCTGCCTCTACATCAGGGCTGCCTCTACGTCAGCGTAAGATGTGACATGAACATTATCGGGGGGTATGGGAGCGTCAGGGACGTAAAAATTAAAAAGAGTGGGCGAAAGAACAGAGAGCTGGGGAACTCCACAGTGAACTATTTTGCGGGGTATTCTTGGTTGTTGAAAAGTGTGGTGGCTTGTCGGCCTTTCAAGTAGTTACTCTGACAACGGAAGCGGTGTGTCATGAAATAGTTCCATGAGAGCACGATGACACACCATATCGAAAGCCTTCGAGGGGTCAAGCGTTGCAAGAACGGTGCGGGAAATTGGGCGATTTTGATTAAAACCGTCTGTGACAAAAAATTATTGTGTGAAAAGCGCTGTAGTGGTAGAGTGGCAAGGACGAAACCCATGTTGATGTGTGGCGGTAGGGAGATAATTTGTTTAAAAAAAGACGAACGAGCCTTTCTAAAACTTCAACAGCGGGGCAGAGTAAAGAGATGGACCTATAAGAAGTGGATAATTTATGGTCCTTTTCCGGTTTGGGTTGGGGGATTATCTTCGAAATTTTTACATTTGAGGTATAATATTTTCAGACAGCGACATATTAAAATGAAGGGTTAAATGTTCAAGAGCTAGGGGTGCCAGGTGTTTTAAGTGAATGTTGCAAAGGCCATCCGGACCAAGAGCTCGCGAGGGTTTGCTGTCCGCAATGGCTTGTTTAGATTGTAGGGGGGAGAAAGTGGGGTTATCGAACAGGGTGAGATTGGCTATTTTGCGTTTGGTTTTCCAGAGTAGCTTATCTGACCCATGAATCATGGCATTTGTAAAATGTTTATTAAAAGCCTTGGCTATGTCTGTGTCTGAAGAGATTGTTTTTGATTCAAATTGAATAGGGTGCCTTCCTATCACAGGCCTGGATCCGTTTAGGGTGCGTACAACTTTCCAGAACTTTCTGGCGCCACTGCGGTATTCACATGTCTGGAGAAAATTACGCCATTTGTTTCTCTTGTCGCAACTTCCACTTTACTCTGTGTATTTTTTCTGAATGTGACAATTTATATAATTTTTGAAAAATTTAATTGATGATTTTAAAAATTGATGCTTATTCATTTACGATGGTTTGAGAATTTAATGGCAGCAAATCTTTCTCCTGCGAGCTAAATAAATTGAGTTAAGAAAAACTAGAATATCGTTCGAGAAATTAATGTCATTTGAGAACTTTTTAAGAGTCGATTAACGTTTTGTTCTTTTTTCTTTTCACGAAGTCTTTATAATTTTTTGAAGCTCATATTTGAATTCTCGTGGTTTTTAAGTTCAAGTTTCCCAGAGAACCCTATTAAGAGTCCTAAAGGTAGTTGTCAGAATATTGTAAATCTTAAATTCTTCTGAAAATTCAAAAGTTTTAAAGCCATCTATTTTTTCATTGAAATTCGAAAGTTGAGATTTTTTTAAAAAGGGAGTTTTTTTCTGTTTACGTGCGTTCATTGACTAATTCGCTACTGCCTGTTTGCTATGATTTAAATATGAAAATTGCAAATGTATGCTGTCGGCTTTTTAGGGGCTGAGGTTTCTGAGATCAAAATCTGAAACCAAGTAATTTTGGAGACTAGACTAATCTGATGAATAGGAGCAAAAAATGTATTTTAAATTGTTCAGTTTACTAAAAAAGAAATGCAGATCGAATAACTTTTGCTGTTTTTTGAAAGTTTTCTCTAGATTAGGATTCCATTTCCATGTTCAACAATCTGTTTGAAGCACCGTAGAGGCGAGTCACTTGCCAGTTTTCTTAAAATTGTGTTTTATAGGAAGTACTTCCAAAAGAGATAGTACCCGTCAAAGTCAAAAACAAGAAATCACATCGAAACTTGAAGGAAACGCGACAAGCAGAAAACGGCAAAGCTCTTCCAGAAGCAGAAAGTTATATATCAGAACCTAAATTAGCGAAGAGAAAGAAAAATTTTGGAGCATCAAATAATAAAGGAACGAAGGATTCTGTGCTCTGTAATGAAAGGCAACGAGGACTCTCGGAAGAAGCCGAGTTAGTCTGCTCGATTGAAAATGTTGGTAAAAAAGCGGCTATGAAAAATCAGAAGCACAAAACCTCTAAAAATATTGAACAAAGAAACGTGAAAGAGAAAAAAAGAAAAAAGAGTGAAAAACGTTCGAAAATGAATAAGATTTTGTCACCAGGATTGACCGGTATTGTTGTAACAAATGTTGTAAGTTTAGCCGAAAACAATGAAGACGAAATCGAATCAGGCTCCGAAATAACAGTTATTTCTTGCGGCGACGAAGCTGACAATTACAACAGTTTTGCAGTCGAAAATGATAACCTGAACTCTTCTGTGGAGTCTGAAATAGACACTCTTTATAATGCAGTAGAAGAGAGAGTCAATTCGGCAAATATCAGCACTTCTGATGGCAAACTGAATTATGATGTGAAATCGCTGGATTTTGGTGCTCACTTGCAATTTACTGACAACACAACAAGTGCAGCTCATGAGAAGTTATATCTAAGAACAAGCTCAGGTAATTTATTCTTCCTTGAACCGATTGTTGATGCAGTTATCAATGTTGAGGAAGATAGCACGGACAGTAGTTACAGACATGTTACCAGAGATGTTGAAAACGAACCATTCCAGTTCACGGACGATTCTCAGGTAAATGTTGATCAAACACCCAGTCTTGCTGTAGCTACAGATTTGAATTCATATGACGGGCATTTGAGATGCTTATCAGAGTCTGGAAGACAAAGAGAAGAAATGTCTTTAGAGGAAAATTTGGTAGACAACGCTGCAAAAGCTGATTCTCTGATTATACCGCAAGTTGAAACTAAAAAATGTATTTTAGATGAAGATAGTTTAAGTTCAGATCATCAGCCAGTGCCAAAACTTAAAAATAATGAAAGTTTCAACAGAAGTGTTCCAAGGTTCAAATGTCGAGAAGTGCCTGGGTTATTAAAAACAGAATTGAGCTCATATGATTCTTTTGTTGTCGAATCGAAAGATGGAGTAAACGATTTGAGCCAAAACTACTGATGTCGTCCGACAACTCGTTGAAAAACAGTTTGCTTTTCAAAGTTTGGCCATATTTTGACAGTTTTTCAAAGAATGACTTGATCACGAATACCAATACATTGCGGAGCAATGATAGCCTGCCTACTCTTCAACAAGTGTTAAATATAAATGTCTTTTTTGTAAAATTCTAATTTATGTCCGCATGAATGGTATTTATGCTTAATAATTTTATGGAAATTGGAGTAACGTGCAATTATCCGAAAGTGCAATAAACCGAAATGAAAAATATTATGATTAATTCTTAATGGCGGCTTTTGATTTTCATTTTTTCCTGCCTTGCGGTTTTTTCGTGAAAAAGTATGTGAAGTGGCTGTAAAAATGGTACTTGACTTTAACGTTCATAAGTAGATTTAATGTTTTAAAATTCCTAGTGGAATATTATAATTATATATTTTATTATAAAAGAGCTGTTTTTCATAAAAGATCTTTGAATTGAAAGGGCATTATGGTTCTAAGATTTTTTTCTTTTTGTTTCAACGACCATGCTTTTCTATAAAGTATTGTCTCCACTCAGTTCAAATTTTGTTAGCACATTTCATCTAAATTAGTCCTTCACATCTTAGTAAATAATAAAAAAATCTTGAATTAGACAAAATCTTGAAGCAACAGCAATCAAAACCACTACTAAACGAAATGAGATCTAACAACATTTTATTGCAGAACATAAGGTCATTGAATTGAATTGTTGTAGTTATGCTAAACACGAACTCGCAACCTTAGAAATTGCATTTACGGAGGCCTAGCTTAATGACAACGTCGAAACAGGTCTGTTTTTGGTGGACACAGATGATAACTAAAAGATTGCGGAGAATTGGTGTGACCACTCTCGTTTTCAAAAATTCAGCGGTCGAAATATTGTTGAAACAAAAATTGATAAATTGCAAACTCAATTGATTGAAATCAAAGTCGACACAAAACTTTCCCTGGTACTTCACAGAAGAGTTCCTTGATATGCTTGTAGTTTCATTAGCATCAATAAAAAAAAAACAAGAATATACTGTGCGATTTTTTTAACGTTGAAGTAATTGTAAACAACAACATAGTGTCGAGTTTGAACAAAAAACACATCGAACATTTGATCTAGAACTTATTAATGATCTCCGAGATATTAAATTATCCGAGATATTGAAAAAATTTTGACTTTCCTGAATTTTTTCTTCGCTAAAATTTATGCAGACACGACTGTAGAGGTCCTTGAATAATTAGATTAGCATTCAGTTAAAACAACGTATCCTATAAATACACTTTATCAGATCAACGAAGAACCACTTGAAGTTGGGAGAAGGTAATTGAAACGTTCAGAAAACGATAAGTTTTAATGAAAAGCATTTACTGGTTCTAGAAAAAAAATGCATTCACTGTAGCACATGAACGTAAATAACAAATGGAGTTTCTTGGTTGAAATTATAGCAGATTAATCCGACAATTACATTCCAAAAACTCCAAAAAATTGTTCCGTTTGCAGATTGCTGGGTTAAAAAAAACTAATAAACGCAGCTTGTACCGAAAAATAGAGTATATACTCTCTCTATAAAGATAATCCGTTCTCTAACAAAATAGCTCTTGCAGAAATAAATTGACATACCAAACTAGTTTGTCGCAAAGCCAATGTCAAACACTATCACAATCGAGTAAATTAAAATTCAAAATCACTATCAAAAATTTTTTAAGGTGTAATTCATGAAAAAAAGCAAAACCCGCGAAATAGAAAGAAATATGTGTCATCTTAGGATTTCAATTCTCATTTTGCATCCATTGGAGAAAAATTAACTGAGCAGCACAAGTTTTACAAATTTTGTTTGCATAAATGAAACTAAAAATGGTGAATGGTTGATAATTGAATCTAGTTTTTTTGCGAAAGGATCTCAATCCTAATCAGCAAATCAATGTTGGAAGGCCTATTTCCTAGCTGCTTAAAAATTGGAAAAGTTCTCTACTTTCACAATATTGGACCACAGACAGTTGAAGAATTCTAATTCGTGTGAAGTTTTTTGAAAGTTTTGTATAAACGATTAGAAAATAGTTTTTTTTTTATTACAAAAGACTGATTTAGGAAAAATTTATATCTGCATTTCTTAAAAACGATCGAAATGTGGCAGTGGAGAACATGGTATTTTACTAAGCGCTCATTGCTGGTTGAATGCTTAGTAATTTTATCCTAATTTATAAGTCTCACCTTAGATCGTCAAATTGTCTTGACAAAAAGTAGAGTAGAAACAATAGTTAGAAAAGGTATGAATTAATTAGTTGGTTGGATACAAAGCACTGGGTTATTAGATTATATAAACGAATCGAACAGCTTAAAGAAATATACCTATGAGGGGAGGTTGAGCTAATCTTATTTTGTTCATCAATTTTTTATCTTCTTACTAAGGTCGGTGGCTGATTAGTATGTATGGTTGCCCTTGATGTTTGTCCAAGTCAGCACTTCTGGTTGGGTCGTCTGAATCGTCTTGCCGTAGTCCTTTGGGTACTTGTAGTCCAGACTTCCTCGGGGGTGCGTATCTCGATTATCTCGATTTATAATTTTTAAAATCAAACTTAAGATGAGAATTTATTCTCTTTTTAAAAATGAAAAGGGCTCGATTAATTTTAGTGTTAGGGCAGAAAAGAAAAATTATTTATTTTTAAAAGATCTGACTGAAGAGAAATGACTTGCTGCTGACTGAGCAAAATGAAACACTGAAGATTTCAGGCCAGTCCTTTTGCTCGTAAGCATAAACCGGCGGCTGATTCAATCTTTAATTATTCAGGTTTCACCTGCTCCTTTGTTCTCCCTTTTTAATAAGGGAATTTTCAACTAGTTTTTGTTTGATTTTTTCAAATCAAATATCTTCAACTTATTAGTCCCCTTTGATAAAAACCGCAGCCTTCAGTTTGTCTGATTAAAAATTCATATTACTCTCTCTGATGCATCATATTGCAGGTGCATCTCTGCTTAATCAAAGCAAGGAGAATTTCAGTGCAGCCGGCAAGACTGCGAAATGTTTATCCAGTTTGTTTCAAGTTAAGTTAAAAGGGACGTATTAATAATCGCCGCCCTTTTAAAATATTGAGCATGAAAAAACGAGAAAAATTGGACAAGTATTTAAAAAGGAGTGGATTTTCAAAACAAGATTTTATAGTCCTAATAAGAGTAAATCAGTCAATATCTGATTTAGTGAAAAGAGGCTTTAATTTAAATGGCACGCTCCAATTTAGAATTGGGTCGTTAAATAAACAATTAAGACAATGGTCTTTTGTGTGTGTGTAGTATTTCGCAATACTACAACTCACCCCTTTTTTTTAGAAAATTAAGCTGTTCGATTCTTACAGTTACCATGGTGAAAATTTAAACACTTTAATGATTAAATACTATAGTTATAAAATTTAAAAAGAACATCAAATGAAAAAGCTATAAAGATAAGTTAGGTTTTATCTAGAGCTTCCTTCCGGATTCAAGCTCCACATTGTATGATCTGAGGATCGCTATCTTCCTCTGTGAAGCCTCAAGTTTTTGTTGCAACTTCACGATTTTCTTCTTTTTAATTTTGTTTTTGATTCGTAGTCTGCTCATTCCGTCCGTAAGTTGTTGAATGTCGTCCTGTTCTTCCTGTCTGTTTTTTACATGGTTCGGAAAAGCAGTTATTCCCTCGAACGGAATGGTGACTTGCGTGCCTCCTGCCTTGAGGATGTAGCCGTGTTCCTCCCTCTTCTTTAATTTCCAGAAGTTGTTTTCGTTCTTTATAACCCCTTCTGGCTGGGTTATGAAGTCGATAGGCATCATCGCCTTTTCCATTGTCGTTGAGTTAACGACTTCAATGAACGATGGCAGTTTCCATCTGTTAAAATTTTTCTTTATTGAGTACTTTAAACTCGTTATATATTTTGGATTTTCCGGATCCAATTTGGTTTCTCTGCACTTCTGCAGCTCCAATCTTTGGGTTAAACTAGGAAAATTGCGAGGGTTCTTATTTAACCCGTCGTCCATTGACAAAGATTGAACTGCTAGAGGTTTCCGTTGTTTCTTCCTGAGGGGCAGCTTTCTTTTGAACTCCTCTGGTGCTGGGTCTGCGTTTCTGCAATTCCAGTTTAAAATTGGGTCGTAATCCATTTTGCTAAACATCAATATAAAATGACCAAATATTCAAAATCCCGAATTACATTCGGATATTAAGGCTAATTATCAAATGTTTGAACGATGAAGGACAAAGTGTAAAATTGTATATATATATAAAAGGTGGAAAATATAATCTTGTGGTTTCACACAAACCCACCACGGAAAACAAATGAAGAAAGACGATCATGGTGTTTATTAACCACAGGAATACAAATCAAGAAAGACGATCATGGTGTTTATTAACCACAGGAATAAAGCATTTTCCGACACTGAGTTAAGCTCAGATATTAAACTTATGTAGTTAAAGCAAAAATGGAAATTTGGGCATTAATTAACCCCTAATATAAAAATATGTCCACCTGGTTGTCATAACCAGCAATTTTTGTTACATTTTTTGATATAAAAAAGAAAAGATTTAAATTAGAATCAAATCAAAATGAAATATCGTAGAAAAGGAAAATTAAACAGACAATTTGCAAACTGTATAGTTTTCAAAAAGATAAGTTTATTAGTTTCTCTTTGGTTTTAATCCTCTGCATCAGTCCATGTTCACATCTTTAGTACAGAAAGTCATCCTGAACTTTATGATGCAAAAATTTAACGTAAACAATCTTAAAGATGATGCGGTCCAATTTTCAAAGTGTTGCTTCTGAAAATTTGTTGTTTTTAAGGGTTTAAATGCCTGCATGTTGTGAATTTTGAACTACCGAATTGATATTTTGGCCAAATTGTGAGGAGCGAATCAAAAGAGTCTCAAAGGCTGCATACAGCCACCAACAAGCATTTGCGTTGTTGAAAGATTATGGTACCATAATTTTAAAAAGGCTACATGAAGCCACCAACAAATGCTGGCATAAATCTGCGGCGGGTCGGGTCGAAAAACGTTGTTCGCCCATTTTATGATAAAGATTTTTGATGAAAATTTTACTCAATGTGTTGAGAAAAAAGGAGGTGAAATTTCCCTTTTTGATGAATTTCTTCTAGTTTGCATTTTGTAACTTGAAAACTACAAAGATAATAATTTTTGTCATCAGTCCCTACTTGGGCCCTAAGAAGAAACCGATGGTGCAAATTAACTTCGCAGAATGAGTTTGTTACAATTTTACATTGGCTAGTTTTTTCATCAAAGGTCTCACTCTATTAATTCTCGTTATTGTACGTAGGGTAATTTGTCATTCCCTTAAGTGTAATACTGAATTTTCAGTTAATAAAACCGCCTGAAAATGAAATT